CACTCATTTGTCTGTGCTAAAATCTCGAAAGGGTGCGCGTTTCTGCTACTATATTTTCATGTAAAACACATGAAGGAAGTGGCAACTTTTACACAATTTTGATCAAATTAGATTGAGGTTAATGTAAAACGTATTTGCTCCGGAATATCTCGGCCCCAAAATTACAATGGGTCCAAAAATTTATACAAAAGAAGACGCATAGAAAACGTAATCAGAATCAAAGGGTGTTATCATGCAATTGGTTTCAGGGACGAAACAAGAGAACATCAGTCTTCACATCCCCATCTATGCACTGCAGATAGATAACTTACAAGAACATGCGTGGAGTAGAGTAGACTGGCTTGGTTTCGAAAAGAGTTCGCTTTGTGTCATTGTTGCATTGTTCCAAAATATGCTTGACTACGTGAAGTGCGCCATGCAGTGTGTCAATGTCGCTTAGTCTGCTTGCACAAAATACGAGTTACTTGACTGACCTCCTTATGACTCCAAGCCTGTTCATAACAATGTATCTTCAGTGACGGCCAAGCCTTCTTGCAAGTTAACCATTGCTATAAACTTTCCCTCCTGTGACAATTCGGCACGTATGTATATACCTCACTACTTTAGGCCTTCATCTTACGTCACAGAATGCAAAGAAAACTTCCTGACGTATATGACACTTGAATTCATTATAGCATCTAATATGTCGTTTCGGCAACCAATAAATTACCGTTTACCTAGAGGGGACCGATCCCACATTCAACTCATCGTACTGAAATATTAAGCAGTTATAGTCCCAGGGCTGATTTTGAATAAGAACAGGCAAGAGGCCTACTCCATGAAATTTTAAGAAAAACATGAATCTAACTCTGAAGTGGAGGCTGCGCCATAGCTCAAGCGGTTAGTCGCTGGCTTCCCACTGCGGTGGCCCGGGTTCGATCCCGGGTCTGGTCAAGTGGGATTTGTGGTGGACAAAGTGGCGCTGGGGCAGGTTTTCTCCGAGTACTTCGGTTTCCCCTGCCAATCTTCATTCCACCAATTGCTCCACAATCACCCTCACCTATCATCTGGGGCTGGTACAATAGGCCAGAAGTGGCCGCAGTACAAGGGACTTAGTCCCACCCCACTAGCAATAAAAAAACTCTGAAGTGCGTAAACATAATTCTTGGAGACTTCTCGTAGTTCTTTTCAGCCTTTACAGTGAAATGTAAGGAGAAATGAAACACGCTACAATCGCTTCTTTTCGCACCCAAAATTCATAGATTATTTTACAATTCTAAACACTGTTTTTGTATTTGAAATTGTGGATAATAAGATTTATGTCTCATGTCGTGTGTCTTTTATTTTATAATCATTTGGTTTTTGAGAAAACTGATAGAACTATATCTCGATGTCACGTAAAGAGGAATTAGATATAAAATCCACTAAGTATATTAATATTAATCTCTTCAGTAGATTAAATATGAATGTACGGATGGATGAAGCTATCATCCTAAGTAATGTTCTGTACACATTCTGTATATTACCGTCTTAAATGCAACTTGTTATCGAGTCACCCTTCTTCCTCAATACATGTTTACGGCCATCATCAAGTGTTGTCTACCTTGCTAAATTGTTGCACTGTACAGGTATGTCAAAATTAGGTATCGCGTAAGGTGTAGGTGGGTGGATAATATTAAAATGGATCTTAGAGAGATGGGATAGATTGGATTGATCTGGCTCAGGATAAGGACCAGTGGAAGGCTCTTGTGAACACGGTCATGAACTTTCCGGTTCCATAAAATGCTGGGAAAGTCATGAGTAGCTGCACAATTGGCGGCTTCTCCAGAAGGGCTCAGCTCCATGAGTAAGTGAGTGTGAAGGCGACATATCCTAGTTAAAAAATTAACCATAATTAAAAATGAATTAACATCTTAATGTTTGTATTGTGGTCGTCGTCCATTCATTTAAAAGATGTTTGACTGAGTATTACTCTTTTTGGGTTTGTTCGGGCAGCATTTTCTTTGCGACTTGTGCATTGTGCTATATGTGCAGTTCGTAGGGATGTTGACGTAGTGTTAATATCAGTTTTGTTATGCATGCACCATTGGCTGTGGGGTTTTCCACGCTGCTAGGCTACTTATGTTGTTAAGTTCTTTTGTGTGCAGACAATAAGTTGCATTTAAGACGGAAATGTGTGTGTGTGTGCAACAGGATGCTTAAATTCAATATTATCTTAAGTACTTGTCTCTGGATCCTATTCAGAACAATATCATAACAACACATCATACATATTATCTAAAAGTTTGTGGCGATAATATATTAATGCAAACATTGTAGCGCTTTATGGGACCGTCTACACAATACAATATATCAACGAATAAATCAATACTAATCTACCAATATTAATTTATTTGGTAAAGGCGTCGCTACAAGTTTCGGCCTTCACAGAGTCATCATCGTCTACAGGTATATAAATATGATCTTAGTCATTGAATTGTTACTTTAATATGGATCCATATTATTACAATATTGTGACTCATATACCCATTGCTACGCAACGACTGGGTAAACACATTATCGAAGCATATTCTTTCAGTAATGGAAGGATATCCATTACTAGATAATGGACCAACAAACACACATTCTGGAAGCAGAAAAAGTGTTTTCCTTGAGGTTCATCCCGAGGGGTAATCTTGAGGACAGTCAGCGCTACAAGTAGTTTCCCGCCCATAATAACATGGAGGCGCGAAATTATGAGGAGGGAGGAACTCTAGAGCCACATTATGATAATAAGTATTTTTAAAATACTCAGCTTCCTTACGTTAAAAACTGTAGTGAAATGTCAACAAAAAAAGGAGACACTGTAAGAATTTTAGTTTCGGTCTGATGGAGATAAGTAATAAACCATTCTTGGTAAGCTTATTATATTTGGTAGAGACATAGACCACAAACATACAATATATAGACATTGTGTGCGAAGATCTGTTTGCAAACCAAACACTGCAAGACGTGGCAATTTTACGATTTTTAGAGGTCATATTCGACGAATATATTGGCCCACAGAAAGGATGTGAAACGATTACACGTATAATGGTGATAGAACTGAAAAATTAGAAAGATACGGAATAGGAAAGTAGGCCAAATCATTTCTGCCAGGAACTTTTCCTTTTATCGGAAATGCGAGGGTGCTTCATCAGTATACTTTCCTGAAGATCACATGGCCTGCCGCAACTCAAGCGGTTAGTCGGTGGCTTTCCACCGCGGCGTACCGGGTTGGAGCTTGGTTCTGATCATGTGACATTTGTGGTGGGCAAAGTGGCGCTGGGGCAGGTTTCCTCATAGTAATTAAGTTTCCTCTGTCACTCTTCATTCACCCAGTTACTTCATCATCACCACCCTCACCTATCACCTGGGGCTGGTACCGTAAGCCACTAGTGGCCGCGGACTCACTCAGTCTCACCCCACTAATAATTCAATTCAATTCAATTCAATTCTTGTTTATTTACTTGCAAACTTAATAGCACAGAGGTCAATTACAAAGTTAGCACGAATAGAGAGAAATACACAACAATAATTTAAAAAATAGAATACAAAATATGATAGTCTACATTAATTACAAAGTGAGCATAAATAAAGATACAGAAACAAACGCACACAGACAAAGCCACAATGTGACAGCGAAGAATAATTCGAGTTTCAAATAGAGCAGTATACAATAATAATAACAACAACAATAATATTAATAACAAAATTAATAAAAATAATTATGATAATAATAGTAACTTATTTTGAATTGTTTCATTTTTGGTCCGTTACACTAGTAGATGCCTGTCAAGCTAGATTGGTTAATCAGTATACTAATACAAAAAGAAAACTACTGAGAATTAATGCTCACATATGGTTCAATCGAGAGTGTAAAAGCAAAAACATTACTCCGAATTACGCTAAGCAAAAACTAAAAGGCTCA